GGGGGCGGTGGGACTTGAAGGACAACGTTTTCTATTAGATTATTTCTATTTTCTCTCTAGGACAAGTTACTGGATTCCAACACAGTGACTCATTTATTCAGAATTACTGAAAATATTGGCTGTGTGATGACAGGAATGACAGGTATTTAGTAATCTTTAAATATCTGAAGTGTGTCATTTTTTTTTAATGTAATTCCCCAACTGTGTATCACATAAAGGAAATAAGTGTTCTAGATTTGTTCCACTGAGTCTGGTTTTCAAGAACTTGTCTAGTTCTGATGTGTGTATTTGAAGACAACTTAAAGCTGGGCCTAGGAATAAACGTGGTACACGTTGTGTGAAATTAATATGAGTTCTTTCTGTCTAGCTGACAGCAGATCCCAGGTGCAGAGAGCCCGCTATGAGGCTGCTAACTGGAAGTACAAGTATGGCTACGACATCCCTGTGGATATGCTGTGTAAAAGGATTGCAGATATTTCTCAGGTCTATACACAGAATGCTGAAATGAGGCCTCTTGGTTGCTGTAAGTACAGTGCATGAAATTAATCTTTTCTGTTTCTTGTCTAAGTAAGAGAGGTGAACAGCGACATGAGAGAGCAGTGTTGGAAGGCTGGAGTTGGAGCCCTAATTTTACCATTGGCTCTATCTAAACATTATCACATGTTTTCAAGAGATCATTTACTCCATTTACATTTACTCCATTGCAAAATCATTTAAAATTTACATCATTTAAAATCATTTACTCCATTACAGAGTCATGATGCCTGTGAATGGGAGATGCTCTTTTTGCAGATGTCTGTGTCTGGGTAAATATCACTGTTAAAACAGACACATGGAGAGGACAGTTATGTGGATTTTGTGGCTTTTTTATGCAAGTAGTAGATATAGGACAAAAATCTGCATGGTTTTTGCTCTTAACCTAACCATGATATATATATAATGTAGAGAAGTGCTAAAAAAAACATTTCGGTTGCAAACATTTTTACACCAGTCTTGTTTTATACAACAGCAAATGCAGCTTAAATGAAAAAAAAAATGTCTGTAAAGCTGGAATTTTTAGATATTCCTGGTCATCTGTGTGTTCTGGGGTTGATTCTGACTTGGTTTTTCTCTGACGTTTGGCTGTGAGCAAATAACTGTAGTTTTTGTCTGGGGACAGAGATAAAAGTTTGTTTCCTCAATTACTTTTTCATTCTCTCTGGGCTTCTTTTTGCTTGCTTGTTTTTTTTTCGTGTTGTGTTTTTTTTTTTCTGTTAAGGGCAGTAGTTTCAGAACTGATGAGTCACTTCTCATAATCACAGTAGGCACTGGCACTTCTCACTAGAGGTAACATTTGGGGTTGCACCATATTTTCCATGGCGGGGCAGTTTTCCTATGCTTCTATGCTTGTAATGTTTGGGAATGATTGTTTCTTTGTTCCCGTGGCATTTTCCATGTCTTGATACTACTGGAAAGTGATTTTTTTTTTTTTTTTAACACATCAATAAAAATGTGTTTTTCTTAATTTTCCTTCACTTTTTTGAAAAGATAATGGGATTTTTTTTTTCTGTCACAGTAATAGCTGCTCAGAAGCTTATCTGTAACTGCTAGTTAAAAGTTACACAAGTGTGAAGCAAAGATAATTTAACACCCTGACCTTGTTCTACAGTTTTCTTCTTTTTTCCCCAAGTATTGCTTTCAGATTTTTTTCTTTTAGTGTGCATACTGAGACTACACAACTGTACATCTTTAAGTGTTGGTGAACACAGATGCCTTTCAGTGATGTGACCAGTTTGTGTTACTTGAAATCTATCCAGATTGAAAGCACCTAGTCAAATGGTCTTCAAAGACTAAGTTTTATCTTCTGATATTTCCACATTTCATTTCAGATTATTTTTTTTTCCATTTGAAGAAAAGAGGAAAAGGGATGCAATGCAGTGCTTTTCAGCATTAACATCGAGAAAACAGATTTGATACTTCCATTAGTTTAAACATGTTCCTAAAGTTGCTTTCTGGTGAAAAGCACATGTTAACAGAATTATTACTACGCTTTCAAAGTGTCATATGACATGTAGGGTGTGAACTGTGGCTGGGTTATCTTTGCATCAGGATTAAACTTTTGTATTTCCTGACTTTATAGTTCTTTACACACTAAGCACGACAAAAATGTTCTTGTGTTTAATACATAACCTTTTTGGGGAATGACAGAAATAGTTTGCATTAAACTGAATTGTGCACTTGGTAATAAGATGCTGGTGAGAAGTGGCAAATTAGAGTTTAATGGGAAATCACAGATCTAGGTATGGGGCTTGTTCCCAAAAATGTACTGTTGTGCATGCACATTTTTCACAGGAGAGGGGTATCTATTCTGTTCTTCAGTTAAATGGGATTGTTAAAATTGAGGAAAGAAATAAATGAAATTTTCTCTTCAAGGTATGATTTTGATTGGTATTGATGAAGAACACGGCCCTCAGGTATACAAGTGTGATCCAGCAGGTTACTACTGTGGGTTCAAGGCCACAGCTGCAGGAGTTAAACAGACAGAGTCAACCAGTTTTCTTGAAAAGAAAGTAAAGAAGAAATTTGATTGGACTTATGAACAAACAGTAGAGGTAGGCCAGCAGAAGGAAATAAAGATTTTTTTAAGTGATTTTTAATGAATATACTGTATATGTAGGCTTGCAATACAGAGGAATGCAGTTGGGCACTTCCAGTTTTGTTACAGTTCTGTGTTGCTGCCAGAGCAAGTATAGCCATTCCAAACAGAGAATCTTTTGAAGGTATTTTTCAAATGTTTATATAGTCATCTAATCTGCTTCTTCTGCTTTATGTTCGCTGAAGGAGAATCTGTCATTGTAGCACTCCTACTGTATGTAGCCAGCGTTTTGTTACTGCAGTGCTTGATTCTGGGGATACTGGTACAGCTTTTTTTTTAGTGTCGCTTCAAAACAACCTTCCTGTTAGACAGGCCGGGATACTCCTCTTCTGTTGGTGCTAAGTGAACGTTACACTTGCTGTGGAAACTGTTGTTCAGTGCCCGTTATAAAATGTCTCCTACATATAAAATGGGTCAACGAACTTATTTATACCCCATCTTTACTTTTTCACTTGTGCTGTATAGATCTAAACAGCCCTCCCCCATGGCTAGTCTGTTTCTCCTTCCAGGCTTTGTTCTTCTCTCACAATGTCATGTTCCCTGCATGGCAAGATCAGCAGTTAAACTGAAGAGTAATAACCTAAGGAACTGACTCCCCATAAGGTTAAAGGCAGTATTGTATTAAGATCCCTGTGAGGGCTATGCAGATTCAGCAATGACAGGGAGAAGCAAGTCTGTCAAGCAGGAACAAGAATCATGTTTTTGTAATGTTCTTGGCACACACACACAATGCCTTTTAAAAAAAAATATTATTTAAAAAAGCTTTGATGTGTTAGAGGTAGCACTCCAAGGACAAGAATTCTGTTTGGGTTTTTGGTCGGGGTTTTTTTTGTGTTTGTTGGGTTGGTTTTTTTTTTTAGAACTTGTCAGTCTTCTGATAAGACATCTATGTTGTCTTACAGAATTGTTACAGAATCAATGTATTATCAACATATTGAAAATAATCTTTTGAAAAGTCTTGCCTGGTGTTCTACACTTCCTAACACATTACCAATCAGAATGCAATGTCAGCATGTCAAAATAACTGACAAGCTGATAAGCATCTATCTACAGAGCTGTTTTATGGAACTTCTTGTTGTGCTGAATCATGATTTCATGAATACATGAATACATTATTGGGACCATACTGCAGGGTTAAGTGTGAGTGAGATTGCAGAGAACACCTTTTAAAAGAGGTGATGATTAGGGTGGAAAAAAAATAAGCCCTGATGAAATGCAGCTTTTAGAAACAGCCAGTATAATCTTAATTGTCAGAAGGAAAGCCAAACTGGAAGCTAGCTAACCTTTGAGTAATTCAGGGCTGTAATGAGGTCTGTCTTGCTTGTCACTAATGAATCATGTTCTGTCCTTGAGACCCTGGGTCTTGAGCTTTGCATGGTAAAAGGTTTTGGGTTATGTTGTGAGTTTTTTTCTGCTACAAAAAAACACCTCCCCTGGGTTTTGTAGATTGGGCATTTTAGGGAGAGGACTGGAGAGGGATTGTGTTGTGTAACAAGGGGAAACCACTTGAAACGTTTCAGCTGAGGTTTTGAGATGGAAGGAATTAAGGTAAAGCTAGAAGGAAGGGTAGTTGTTAATGCTGTGTCTATTGAAAAAAAAAGTGCTTTCTGTTTAATGATAGGCTTTTTTGTCATCTTTCAGACAGCAATAACATGCCTGTCTACTGTACTATCCATTGATTTCAAACCTTCAGAAATAGAAGTTGGTGTAGTTACAGTGGAAAATCCTAAATTCAGGTAAGTGATCAGTATTGATAAAACTTGGTGTGTTTCTCTGATTATGTATTATTAGTTTTAACATCTTGTATTGTATAAATTGATAAAAAGATGTAAATGTCAAACACTGAAGATTTGGAGGTTTGTTTGCTTGTAACTCTTCAAAATGTGTGGGGATAAAAGATGTTGTTTAAAAGAAACCAAAACCACTCAGTTTTAAAATGTGTGGTGTGGTTAAGGAAGCCAGTAGAGACAAGTGTTGTCTTTGGTCTCTTAAAAGGTTATTGCCTTATGTGATGATTAAAATGTGGTTATATCTGGTCTGGATGATTTTTCATGCTTAAAAGAGTAAAAATTTTTGTTCCATTAGTATCTGGAGTCCCATTTCCAAATCGTAGCCCTGACAATTAACCCAATAAAGTCTGTTTTATATCAGGGAAAATTGTGCAAGTCCCTTAATTTGTTTAATCCTTTTCTAAATGTGATCTTGAAATTACTCTTGCTCATCTTGTAATTATAGCAGGTTTTAACATGATCAGTATATAGTTAATAGGTTATGAATTTGTATGGTTTGGACTTCTCGATTTAAATTTGACAAGATTAAAGGGTCCTGGATTTAAAAATCATGCTGCATTCCCACCTAGCATGAAAGCAAGACACCTGCAGTTTCCTCCCTCCCTGTTATTGCCTGAACCTAAGAGGCAATAAGAGCAGCACCCTGTTAATTGGTCAGTGTGCCCTGACAATACCTGGAAGTCTTCCTGCTGGGAGCTACACATCATGTCAGACAGTGTACTCAACAGTCTTCTGGCAACAAAACATGTAGCTGCAGAAGTATGCATGAAATGTGGGGAGAAGCAGGATTTGTTGTTTTGGGGCTTGTTTGTTAGTGCAAAAGGACCCTCGAGGTGTGTTTTACCTATTATTTAGGCAAATCTGGCTTGATACAGAGTTCAGTTGTTTCTGTCCTAATCTTTCATTGTCTTTTTTAATTAAAAAAAAAAAAAAGGAAAAGCTAAGCAGGGAAGAAAAGTTCTCTGCTGCTTTAATCTAGCTTTTTGGTAGGTGGGGATGGGAGAGACGCTTCAAACCTTTGGGTCCTACAGGTGCAGTCTTTCGAGTGCTTCCTAACGTGTTTAAGGTTGACATGGTGATGATGGGTAGTTTTGCATTTGGTGGTGTTTAGGACATTGGAGTAGCATAGTATTTTTGAGAAAGCAGGCAGGAGCTGCGTTACCCCTTTTTGGCTGCTGCTCAAGGGCCAAGAGCTGGTTACCTTTCTGCTGAACTTCCTTTACCAGCCTTGAGTCCTTTTGAGAAAGGATGGATAGCAAGCAGAAGGAGAAGGCTGTGAAAACCTGTGTCCCCATTGGAGTGATCATAGTAATAACCACACCTGTTCTTCTCACCAGGTCCCAGCTTGCAAATACATTACTCATGAGGAATTACCTGTTCTTTTTCTACCATTTTTTACCTCTTTGGTCTCCAGTGCCTTTGATCCTTTCTGTATTTTTCAAAAGGAATTGGAATGTTGGCCTGTGGCCCTGGCAGTGGGACTTTAAAGGGCTGAAAGATGCATTGTATAAAACTTATTTGTGTAGTTATTAGGTTGTAATACTGGAGCTTAAGAGGAAGAATCATTTAAGCTATTTAAGATTTCTTTTTGTTCTTTCAGGATCCTTACAGAAGCAGAGATTGATGTCCACCTTGTAGCTCTGGCAGAGAGAGACTAATGAGCATTCCCATTTCCATTGTCTATGCTTCTGGACAGGATATTTGGTGAAAAAAAAACTTATTAATGGCTTTAGATCATTGGTGGAAAACAATATTCACTATATGATGTATTTTACTCTGTACAAATAAAACAGAGGTTTTTGAAATACTTGTTGTCTCCTTTTAGTGTAATTTTTTTAACTTCCAGTTCTATGAAATTCATGTCAACATGCTTGATGACTTCATTCCTGTGATGGTTGCTTGCCTTTTAGTTGTATTTCAAGAGAATTTTTATACTCTGCACTGTTTTTCACCTGAGCTATTTGGCTCCTAATGTAAATTTTTTATCTCAGATTGTGGGGTGTGCATCTTGAGCTATTGCTTATATTTACATGCATTCTCTTCTCACCCCGATGTTGAAAGGCTTACAACATTACTGGTTTAACTGGGGGGGGAGCTTCAGAAGACCTTAATATTCACTCCAGTTTGCGTGAAGATATAGAATGAAAGTTGAAAGGGTAAAAAAATTGAGCTGTGATTCCCAGCACATTCCTTTAGGCTGATTTATCTGGGGGACAGGTGGTGAATTTAACAGACATCAGTTATAATCAAACAGCTCTGAAGCGAGCATTTATTTAGGGGAACAGATTCTATATGCAGTGTACTTTGGGACTTTGCCTGTTTGTCACCTACCTGGTTTTGAGGCTTTGGCCAGTGCCAGAAAGAGT